ATGCATTATTAACATCCAAGTCCATGCTTGTTAACATTAGTTAATGCATCATGAGTTAACATGAACTAACAATGAACTACTGTATTTCATTAACTACCGTTAACTAGCATGAGCAAATACAGTAGTAGATGTATTGTTCATTGTTTGTTCATGTTAGCAAATGCGTTAATTAACATTAACTAATGAACATTGTAAAGTGTGACCGCTTTTTATCACAAATTAAATGAAATAAAATGCTTGTATATGGGTGTTTTCCAGTGTTGGGTTGCAGCTGGAAAGGCATCCGCTGCGTAAAACCTATGCTGAGTGCAATTTTTAGATATTTAGACAAGAAGCAATAAAAAAACATAAGAAAAGCTTATTTGACGGGAAAAATGTAAATGTAGCTCCTACTCAACTTACTTTTACACCCCAAAGAACTGAAAAAAAGTGTATATGGTTTTGTTTTCAGAAATTATGAATCAAAATTAAGTGAGCTTTTCCTTAAAACATGCTAAATAAAATCTGAAAGTGGGATAAGTAAAAAATAGTTTTTTAATTTTTAAGTTTTACACTTACCCCATTGGCATTATTTTGCCTAATTATTTGAATTATTTAGCTTGGTTAAATAAAAAAAAAAAAACACCAAATTTTGACATTTCTAAAAACAAAACAATAAAAAATGCTTCTTGAATTTTTAATATTGGACTTTATACAAGAAAAACTAAGGAAGAAAAGCTTATTTGTAGTGTACAATGTTCTGTATACTGTGTACTTTGCACCCTAATTAACACTTGATCCCCCCTGAAAGACGTCAAAACAATATTTATGGGGGGGTCGGCCCTTTAATACTGAGACAGGGTTCATACACATATTTACTTCTGAAATTCCATGACTTTTCCATGATTTTTCCAAGACTTTCAAGTGAATTTTCATCACCTAATGTTTCATGCAATGTCTACATATGTGTGGTAAAAAACAATACGTTAAAATGTTTTACAGCATATCGCAAAGCACGCAACAATCTATTTAGATTCAGCTTATATTTACATCTATTTAAAATTGATTTAGACGGTGCTTATACCGCACTTAAAATGCGAGCGCATGCGATTGGCCAAGGACAGAAAAGTAGTAAAGATAACTAACCTATATTCAAGTATACAGATAACCGTTTTCCATGACTTTTCCAAAACTTTGTGGGTTTCAGGGAGTTCAGTCGTACGAAAATGTACGATTTTAAAAAGAAGGCGTGGCACCCAACCCCACCCCTAACCCCAACCGCCATTGGGTTACGAGCAAATCGGACTAAAATGTGCGAATTAGATCATACGGATTCATATGAATTAGCCACTAAATCAAAAAGTTACGAATTGCCGTGAGATTGCGTTGGTTTTTCTGACTTTCCTAAACTTTTCCAGACCTGGAAAATGCCATGACAAAATTCCATGACTTTTCCAGGTTTTCCATGACCGTATGAACCCTGCTGAGAAATACTTTTTAAATAATGTTAATAATTAAAATAATAAATAATAAAAATATACATTTGATTACCCCATAACGGCTCTGCATTGTGAATGCATAATCATGCCTATGTGAGAAAAAAAATCATTCAACAGTCTGAAACTGGCAGATCTAGAGCACCAATATCAGACGTGTTCACAAGACTGTTTGCTCATGAAGTAAGTGTTAGTATCTACATATATTCTGAGAGTCAAATTAGGAAGTGGTGTTTTTGAGGCCAGCAGGGGGCACTCAACCTGTGGTCTGTGTGGGTCCTAATGCCCCAGTATAGTGACGTGGACTCTATACTGCTCAGTGAGTGCCGTCTTTCGGATGAGATGCTAAACCGAGTTTGGGGGGGGGGAGGTTGGGGGTTTGGCTGACCTCCCTGGTTAACAGCCCTTTAATACTGAGAAATAGTTTTTAAGTAATAAAGTTATTACTTAAAATAATAAACAATATACATTAATTGAAAAAAATCCTTTAACAGTCTGAAACTGGCAGATCTAGAACACCAATAGACATCAGAAGTGTTCACAAGAATAAAATAAGTGTTAGTATCTACATATAGCCTGAAATTAGATGCAGTTGGTATAGTTTGACCAACAGAAATAGCAAAGTATCACTAAATATCCCTCAAAACACTTTAAACTTAAATTTGTTGTAATAATAAACTAGATCTAGTTAAAAATAACTACATAAATGCCGGGACCATGCAGTACACAAACTAACCAAAAACACTGACTCCCCCTGATCCTCAATGTATAATTCACACACTGTGTACGACAAATTTAGTTTTGTACCTTAAAAATCTCTCACATTACTTACTTTCATACTCCAAAGAACTAAAAAAGAAAGAGGATCTCACTGGAAAAGAAAAGTATCTCGGTAGAAAGTAAGTTGTTAACTGATTAATATTCCTGGTGTGGTTTGAGTGTTAATTTAAAGCTCCGAGGAGCATCTCCCTTCACAAAAGACTATTCACATGTAAAAGAAGGGGATTTTCTCTTGAAATCAATTGCAAACATTTAAAAGGTTTTCTTCCGTGAGAGTTTTGTAGCTTTTATCAGTCGAATGGAGGGAGAGTTCAGGAACACGGTGTTTTAAGCGCCGTTTAACGGTTTGTCTCGTTAAAACTCACCGCGCGTCGCCTCAGTCTTCACATCTGTTCGTCATCTTAAGCTCGCTTTAAGCTCGTATTCGGGCGAAATTGAAATGTATGTTTAAAAGTACTAACAGGCGATTTATTTTTGACAGGTTCGCGTGAGAACAACGCGGGATTGGATTCACCTGAGCGCGCCCCCGGAGATGTTGCCCTGGCAACTCCCGCGGGACTCTCTGCTGACGGGCGCGCGGATTTCCACTGATTAGCGATGGGTGAGTGATTTTTGTTAAGACAATTGGTTCTTAGTCTTAACACATACTTATGTTAAAATACCGTTATAGACACTAGTTAAATCAGAAAAATCGCATATATATATATATATATATATATATATATATATATATATATATATATATATATATATATATATATATATATATATATATATATATATATAA